TGAAATGTTGGTAAACTTGTACCAGACTATATGACATATCATCTCAGAAAAACAGTCATTTCATTTTCATGCTTGACACAATAAGAATCTGAATCTCATGTATGTATAATAATGTATTCAAACTTTCACAGTGAGACACACACACTGAATGTAGTTCTAGTGCTGAAACTAGTGTTGACTTGTTAGGCAGTACAAAAAGATTACACCACAAGATAGAAAAAAAAATGCAGTGTGAACATAGATTATGTATTGGGACGGAGAGATGAAATCGATTCAGTAATGAATTTAAATTTTTCTGGAGTGTAAGGAAAAAGTTAATATCTTCCCATTCATGTGCATGAGCCAAACATTAGGTTTCATGTTACTCTGTTCTAGTGCAACTGTTTCGAAATTGTCCATGTGCACGTTCCCTATTACTGATGACAACGGAAAGCCCATTGTCATTCTATATGTTAGTAAAACTCTTCACTGACTTGGAAGTGCATAGCCAGATCTGCTTCCAGGACATCTTGTGTAAGCACACTGTATTCACTTGATCAATTAAAAATGTACACAAAAGACTCAAATGAGGAGAGGTTATGTGAACGTTACCAGACTTAACATTTATCATATGGAAACAGGGTATCCCCCATCCCCCCCATCATGGAGAAGCCAGCTGGACAGAGCTGTGATCCATGTTCAATAACATTAAAATATAAAATTATGTGGATGGCCTGAAAAGTATTGCCTCCTCTTAATTAAAACATGAATGGGAAGGAATTTTTCAACGGAACAAAAACATAGGAAAAATTTAGAGTTTACTCTTCAAAATTATACATTATTTTTCTACAGTCACCTTCTATTTCAATGTACTTATGCCAATTATAAACTAAATTTTTTAAATAAATTTTTGTAGAGCTATGAGTTTTCACAAAGAAATTATCTCACAGCAGACTTCACTTCTTCATCTGACCTAAGCGAAGAGATGAAAATCACTTTGCTGGATCTGGGCTGTATGCGGAATAATGCGAGAGGGAAAAACCCAGACATTCAATCGCTTCTCGTGTTCAAGTACTGGTGTGAGATCTAGCGTTATGTTGAAGGATTGTGTGGTTTTTGTTATCAACTCTTTTGAATCTTTTTGTCAACTTATTTAAGGATTCGATACAATGTTCAGATTTAATGGTTGTCCCTCATTACATAAAATCAGCAACATCCCAAAATGCAGTCGCCACACTGAGAGCTCAAACACGAGAAGAGATTAAATGCCTGGCTTTTTCCCTCTTACCTCGTCCCCCATATAGCCCAGACTTTGCACTGAGCGATTTTAATCTCTTCCCTAAGCTCAAGGAACATTTAAGGGGCAAGCCCACTGTGAGACAACTTTTTGCACAAACAAAACTCAGAGCTCTATAAGAATAGATTTTAAAAAAATATTAATTTATCGTTGGCATCAGTGCATTGAAGCAGAAGGTAACTGCAGGAAAATAATGTACGATTTTGAAGAATAAACTCTAAATTTTGTATACGTTTTTGTTTCATAAAAAGATTCCTTCCAATTCACGTGTTATTTAAGAGGAGGCATTACTTTTCAACCCACTTTCACGTACATATTCCAGGTCATAACCTCCAGCCCATCAGTACCTGGATGCAGCTAGCAACATCTTTCAGGTGCTTGTGCAGTAGAATTTGCTTTCTGTCTGGACTGATGAGCCTCAAATCGATGCGACCAACTTGAAATAGCATCGTGCGGTTGTGATCAGTCTGAAACAATCAGATGTCATGTACAGTTCCTCATTTTGAGTCTGTGAAAACATTATTATACATGAATATCACTGAGTGAACTCAATAGTGCTCTGCAAAGTCTCATTTGCAGACCAGTAAATTAAGAGCGGGCAATCTGACAACTAGTACCCCATTTGCCTCATACTGCGCAGTTGGTACAAATACCAGAAGTATAAAAATCTAATTAATAAACATATATCAGCTAAGAGTAAACAATTTAAAGTGGAATTAAAAATAATTTCTTTCGACACACACCTTCCACTCTAATGATGAATTTTTAATTTTGTAATTTATACTATTGCAATCATGTGTGTAAATTTCAAGTATGGTCATGAGTATAAACTTTTAGACATATGGAAAATAACATATATGCATGTATTCTTATGTGGATGTGTGTTGTTATTTACTTGGTATATTAATTTAATAGTAATGTATTTTGAAATTAGTGTCATGTTATCTATGCTACTTATAAACATACTGTATGGAATTATTACCCAAATAGTCATTAAAACCCTCTCATCATCACCTTTCCTGAGTCACATGGTCACCAAAACTGCTTGCATCGCTTTTTCTCATCACCACGCGTCTTTATATAACTTTTCATCACCTCTTTTCCTCAATCATGTGCTTATCACCAATTGGATAACAGCCTACTCTTCTGTTCTGCCTATCAGATTCATCACATTCAACTTGTCATGTACCGCCTGTTCTATATACGGCTTCAAAACACCCAACCATGTGTTATTCACACCGAAGACAACATCTGAAATTTTTGCCGAAATACGGAATAACTTTCAAGATCCAACATAGATCATTCTCAGAATCTGAAGACGTTCATCATGTATGTGGTTAGGCTAACTATAGTGAATTTTTCTCCTGAAAAATGTTTAAGAGATATAAATGGATTTAAGAAGTGTTACAAACCTAGAAGTAACTTGATAAAGGATGAGAATAGTGATCTGCTTGCAGATTCCCACAACATTTTGAACACGTGGAAGAATTACTTCTCTCAGTTATTGAACATACATAGGGCCAATCATGTTGGCAGACAGAAACACACAGAGCTGAGCCATTAGTACCTTTCTTGAGGTTGAAATTGCTATTGGAAAGTTAAAAGATAAAAACTGCCATGTAGCGATCAAATTCTGGCAGAACCGATTCAAGGGAGAGATGAAACATTATATTCTGAGATCCAGAAACTCTTTATCTGTATTTCGAATAAGAAAGAATTGCATAAGCTGTGGAAGAAGTCTACCAATTTACAAGAAGGGCAACAAAATTGACTGTAGTAATTATCGAGGCATATCACAGTTAAATACTTCATTCACAATTTTATTCAACATCCGTCTATCAAAGTTAAGTCCATATGTAGACGAAGTTACTGGGGATAATCAGCGCGGGTTTCGTCGCAATACGTCAACTACTGACCATATTTCTTGTATTCATCAGACACTAGAGAAAAAAATTGGAGTACAATGAGACAGAACGTCGACTATTCATAGACTTCAAGAAAGTGTTATGATTCAGTTAGGAGGGAAGTATTGTACAATATTCTCACAGAGTTTGGTATAACCATGAAATTAGTTAGGCTTATTAAAATGTTTTTAAATAGAGAAAACTAAATATATATTGATGTCTTGTCACCAGAATGCAGGTAAAGATCATAACACAGAATCCTAATGGATCCTTTGAAAATGTTGCAAAGTTCAGATATTTGGAAGTGACGGTAACAAATCAGAATTTGATTCACGAGGAAATTAAGAGCAGATTAAATTCAAGTAATACTTTCTACTATTCAGTTGAGAAACTTTTGTTTTTTCGTCTGCTGTCTAAAAGCGTGAAGATTAAAATACACAAAACTATTACTTTGCCTGTAGTTTTGTATGGGTGTGAAACTTGGTCTCTGACACTGAGGGAGGAACGTAGACTGAGGGTGCCGAGGAGAATATTTGGAACTAAGAAGTATGACTTATTAGGGGGCTGGAGAAAGTTGCATAATGAGAAGCTTCGTGGGTTATACTTGTTGACAAATATAATTAGACTAATCAAGTCGAGGATGAAATAGGCAGGCCACGTAGTTCACATGGGAGAGAAGAGGAATGCATACAGGATTTTGGTAGGGAAACTAGAAGGAAAGAGACCACTAGGAAGACCTAGATGTAGGTGGGATCATTTTAAAGTGGATCTAGAGAAATAGGACAGGGTGGTGTGAACTGGATTCATCTAGCTCAAGATAGGGACCAGTGGCAGGCCCTTGTGAACATGGTAACACACATTAGAGTTTTGTAAAATTTTGGGAATTTCTTGAGTGGCTAGGTGACTGCTGGGTTCTCAGGAAGGACTCGGCTCAATGGAGTAAGTAACGTTTTACTAAGTATTTTATAAATGTAAAATACTACATAGTCATTTATTCCATATATTGTTGGATGATCGTTCACCTCTGCTTAGGCATGTGAACGTGAGGCCAGCAGTCAAGCTAGTCGGCTTTGGCTCTCTGGAGCTGTTACGCCATGGATTTAATTCAATTTAATTGCTTATTAATTTCTGTTGAATGCCTATACATAAATGAGAAAAAGAAAGAACGTAGCAGAAGAGCGAGAGAAGAATATGCATTTTCTCTTTCGGTTTTACATTTCGCAAGCTCATTTGAAAGTCATATTCTTTTATTCGCTTTTTTCCGAAGGGATCTTGTCTAGTCGTGTTCTTTTTTGAAACAAGAATTATAAAACAGAGGGGATGAAATACGAGGCGCGTCCTCAAAAGTAAGTTTCCCACTCGTCCCCCCGCTAGCAAACCTTATATTGCGCGAAGCGGCTGTGCGTACGTGATAGAGCAATGACGTAGCATGGCGCATGCACTAACGGCACCTCCCGCGTTCTCACAGTAGCATCGTTGCAGCTGTTGAAGATGGAGGTTCTTATTCCAGCTCCCGCCGACTGTGAAGTGCGGTCAGTGATAACGCTAGGCCGCACACGGCTCGACGGACAGCAAGTCTCCTGCCGGAGTTCAGCTGGGAGGTGTTTAATCATCGACCCTACAGCCCGGACCTCGCTCCCAGTCATTTCCATCTTTTCCTACACCTCAAGAAATTCCTGTCCGGTCAGCGTCAGCGTTTTGAGAATGACAGAGAGGCGGAGATGGTTGTCACACAGTGGTTCCAATCCCAGGCGGCCGACTTCTACGACACAGGTATTCAAAAGTTGGTCCCACGGTATGACAAATGTCTCAATTCCGGTGGCGAATATGTTGAAAAATAGCTGGACACTTGCTGTATCTGTTGCAATAAATATTTCCATGAAATTGTGTTTTGTTTCTGTAAACGGCCCCAGGGAAACTTACTTTGAGGACGAGCCTCGTACACAAAATTTAGTCACTGCTGTCCTAACCGATGGCATGTGATTGGATAAAATGTTGGTATTACTGACGGTTTGGAACTGGAATCTATAAAGGTGAAGTGGCTTCTAATGACATGGCATTTAATCAGTCCCAATTGATCTGTATAGAACTTTTGGTAGGCAATGAGACACTACAGCCAGTTTTTCTCTTACCTTTTCAGTTTTCCCCTCCGAATAATTATTTTACCAACATAAATCTCATCTATTACCACCACCTCTGATGTGTGCAAGAGGTCTGATCAGCTGGTACGATGTCCCACCTTCAGACTTTACAGCTGATCTGCCACTTGGCCAGACACAAATCAAATTTCAGCCAATACATAGCACGTTTCTGAGACACTTACCGTACCGTCCGTCTTCTTCAACTCTTTTGCACTGCCAGTGGACGCTGCTCGATTCCTCATTGGTTCAAGTGGGAGTGACCTAAACGCATGTAAACATTACACAATTTAGGATATTCGCTACATTGTCTGTGCAATTATATCAGCATTCTTAGCAGCCTTCATAGACATGAATGAACTGTATTTTATGAATTATCAACTAGCAAAATTTTCATGTGAATAAATTAGATACCATAAGCTGATAACCATTTTTCAGTATGTGTGATGTTGTCATGATAACCAAAACATTCAGTTCCTCCCTAATAAAAATGTATATAACAATTCCTCATCATTGCATAAATTAATTGATTAATAATATTACATCAAGAAAATTCTCAAATGTAAAGTGGTCATTGGACGTGTCATCTATGATACTGTTCTTCTGTTTTGTGATGCTGCGTGGACTTACAGGTTGATGCCAACACTTTGGAGAAACATACTGCCCCCATCTAACAGAAAGCTGTTAAGATTGACAACAGTCCTGCTCATAACAGGAGAGGGAGAGTGATGCTGGGTTTTCTGCAGATGATGAAACTTATTACACTGTCTGGTTCTGCTATTTGAAGACAATTGCGAGCTCTTCCTGAATGCAATACAGCTGACTAGAGCACGGTCAGCATCTGAAAGCTGTAGGTGCGGCTGAACAGTCCTGGGAGATCACATCCAGCTGGTGCCTGATAAAGTGGATCCATTCATGGAGCAGACAGAAGCTGGTCCACGGCAAAGCCATTTGGTCGCCTCTAACTGAATGAACCGCTGGAAGCGCAGGAACCAGGGAACAGTGCTCTGGTCCCTACAGGTCATAAGAGGGATAGAGAACCCAGGAGCTTAACCCTACTTTAGCCGAGGGATTCCAGCGGACGGAGGAGCCCTTCCTCTGACCCTATATTAACAATCCACTTTCCAAAACCCCTCACACTTCAGCCCTGAAGATGGGGGCAGTATGTTTCTCCAAAGTGTTGGCATCAACCTGTAAGTCCACGCAGCATCACAAAACAGAAGAACAGTATCATAGATGACACGTCCAATGACCACTTTACATTTGAGAATTTTCTTGATGTAATATTAATAAATTAATTTATGCAATGATGAGGAATTGTTATATACATTTTTATTAGGGAGGAACTGAATGTTCTGGTTATCATGACAACAGACCAAATAACTTTGGAATGGTAACACATTGTGATTTCTTTGATCAATCTTTATTACAGTTATGCATTATTTTCTTTTAAGCAAGAACTGAATTTTCTGGTTGTCATGGTGTCAGACTAAAGCATATTTTGCTGTTGCCCCTTGTTTGTCTGACCCACCTGTTTATAATACAACATGAAAAGTTGGCACTCACAAAATGAACATCTACAGGCAACAACAAAGCAAACACACCAGAACTGATATAGTGAATGGAAATACTCGCTTCTTAGTTTAAGTTAATATTCCAGCACTGAGTTGCAGGGATTAAAACAAAGTACATAAAACTACAGTCAGAACTTGAACCACAGACTTCGCAATTTATGGCAGCAAACCGTGTTTCTTCCGCCATTATTACCAGACATCACAGTGTCACTTACTGCTGCTTCGTCCAGGTTGATTCAGTCCTGATGGCAGAATTCGCTTGCACTGGAACCACTTCACTTTGTATTGTTGGCACCACAACACTGCTTTCCCCTGGAGGTGTTATGTTGAGAGCCTCAAAGGAATCTGCAAGTTTTATGTTGCCAGTAGGTGCCACCACCATGGGGGACAGGACTGTGGGTGACACAGCATTCAGGTGATCTGGAGCTTCTAATTCCACACTGCATCCTGAGTCCTGTAACATCATGAGCCAACTGCCAAATGTTTGCGTATCACAGAAGAAAAATTTATAGAAATATATGCAGTCTGGGGTTAAAGATCAGACAAAATGAATCTCTGAAAGTCAAGGCCAGGCTTAGGGATGGTGATGTAGGGTGGACACCCAAGGAACCAGACTGACGGTTATTTAATGAAAATTAAAATAATTACTTCATATTTTTACAAAGTGAAGCAAAATGTGAATTGGAATGTCGTCATTGTCATGTCCTTTCCTGGCACTGGACTCACACTGTACTTTTACAACCATGTATTTAGTATAAGGTAATTTGTCTCTTCTTTCTTGAATCTCTTCTAAAAATTAGATGGCCAGAAAATATTTCAAATGAGAAATTGTGGATAATTACCCCTCAAACGAAAATACAACAACAGATCAAGGAAAGAAAGGAAGTGGCTGGGACACACGCTTAGGTAAGAGGATGAGGGCATTTCAAAGCAAGTGTTGGACTGGAACCCCCAAGGAGCACGGAAAAGAGGAAGGCCGAGGATTACGTGGCGGAGATCTATTGAAAAGGAAGCACAGGGCAAAAGTTGGAAGGAAATAAAGGCACTAGCCAACAACCGAGTGAGGTGGAGGAGTTTTATATCAGCCCTATGTTCCGAAGAGGCATAAAAGGAATTAGCTAACTAACTTTCTTAAATCTGGAGTTGTGAGATGGTATTGAACTCTTACGAACTCATTCTTCAAGGTATAACAGCAAATGTTGCAACAGCTGCCGATTAGCGGGAGGGATTCAGAAGCTTCATGTGATGACAAATGCACGCGCAAAAATGTTAAATCTGTACAAAAATTTAACTTATGTGATGTGGAGTAAACACAGATCATGACATGCAAGGAAATAATTGGCAGGCAAGATCAGCAATGCAAAAAGTGTAAATCAACAACTGATAGATTTCAGCTCAAGAAGCTTATACAGTGAGTTAACAAAAACTTCAATAAGAACAACAAAGAAACTGTACTCCTCAGGTAATGTAACAAAATTATATAGTAGCCTACATGTCACACTGAAGGCCTACTCAAACATTTGAACAATTTATTTTAGCGTACACAGTGGTCACACATTTAAGTACATACTCTAAAATAATATTATAATTTTATTGTACTTATAAATGTAATTATTAACTTGTGATGAATTTCATTATGGAATTTTTACATAAAACTGTGTAGCCATTTACATTTAATCGGAATCAGTAAACTCTGGAAGGTGTAGTTCAACTGGATCTGTGCATGTGCCTTTTGTTTCCTATTCTCGGCCAAGATAATCTTTTTGGAAGCATTTTGGACGGAGTGAGTCAACACTTACAGAATATATAATATGATTAAATAAGATTTAATACATAGGACTTTCCTTCGGTCTGGGGAGGTTGACTTGGGACTCAAGATTCCTGGCGTATACAGCGTTCCTTGCGAGTGCAGGAAAGTCTACATTGGGCAGACTGGCCCATCTATCTAGACTCTGGTCAAGGAGCACCAGCACCACATCCAGTTGGAGCAACCAGATAAATCTGCCCTGGTTGAACACAGCATCAACCTGGGCCACCACATTCAACACGAAGACACCACCATCCTGTCCATCAAATAAAGACACATGGGCCAGATGATCAGGGAGGCCATCAAGATCGAGCTACATCTCTGAACAACTTGAACAGGAAAGATGGGCTTCGCCTCAGCCAGTCATGGAAGCCCCTCATCCACTCTCTCAAAGGACTTTGGAAGCATCCCGTCCCATCCAGACCACTTAGCCCTTTTCATGGCACATCTGGCCCCAGCCAGTCTTCATTTCCACTCTCCTGATTCCTACTCATCACGTCCACCCACCTCCCATATGTCCACTGATCCACCGACTGGACTCTGAGGGGCCCTTATACGGGCTGCTTTGTCGGACCTCTCCCTCTCTCACGCTGTGGAACTCCCCCATGCTGCTATCTGTTCCCAGGCCCTCACCTAATTCTGACACCAAACCCCACTGGTTAGACAAAGGCTCTTCCTTGACTGTCAACTTCCTGTAAATGTAACTGATTCCACTCGTGCGGCTTACTCATCGTCATGATGATGGAGGTAGCAAGGACCTCTGAAACGCCGGTAAACTTCTACCAGACTACATGGCGCAACAACCCAGAAGACAGCCAACTTCATCTTACGATTTAAAACTGTAAAGGCGAAAGAATGCAATGAAGCTTTATCAAGTGACCAGCTGTGTGAAAATGGCATTGTAATCCAATACTTTGGAGGCTGATTGCCCAAGAAGACTTCATTGTACAATACAATTACATTTGTGAAATGAAACAAATGCTATGTAGGCATGTAAAGCACATCAAAATTCAGAATGAAACAAGTAGTCAAGAATTACCAATTTCAAATACTTGGAATTTTGCAATTGTCATTGTGCTTCCTCAAACCACTACGTTGAGATGAAAACGCTGTGAGAACCTCAAGTCTTACGATTCATTGGTACTTTGGCAAAGGAGACACAATGACAAGCCGTTACTTAATCCAATGGCAGACACGGAAGTGGACAAAAACCGTTTCTTCCGCCTGTTATACCTTAATATTGATAACATTTCCTTCCTTCTTACATAATGTGATGCCAAGCGGAACACAGGACTTTCCGCCAAGCTCTTGAGCAAGACTTGACTGAAAATGCTAGGGGGTTTACCTCATCCCCATCCTCATCTAATACCAGCTGCCATACAGAGAAAACTTACTCAGCCTGAGGTAATTTTCAAAAGTCATAGGCCAATTCATTCCTCTAGAGCAGGGGTTCTCAACCTTTATCACAGGTGTACCAGTAATTCTAATTTAATGTACCACAAACCAAATGTGTTCAGGGAAAGCTGTTATTTAAGTTAATATTAACTTCGGATAAGATGCAGATATAAGTGAGTGACCAGACGCCCAGAGTCTGCAGTAATTATGAATTAAAGAGCGTTGAATGAGTGGACTCTGAACAGTGAGCACCAGACATCAAAAATCAGAAAATAATACAAAGTATCACTAGCGCAATTTCTCTATTTGGCTTGGTGGTTTCTTCTACAACAAACATTCATTTGTTATAATACAATCTTGGTTGTTTCATCACAGTTCAGCAATTAACTGTAAGTGAAATTATATTCTATCTAAATATTAATAATAAACCACAGTCTTTTATATATGTGCTGTTTTATATGTCCTACTGTGAAACTTCACTATCTTTCTAGCTGTAACTTCTGGCAACAAAGAAACATTTTAGGATCAAAATGATGAGAGTGATAAAAATTGGAAATGCTTATACAACCACATCATCTGTCAGAAAAGAATACTGAAAACCACAGCCAAGGTACATACGTAGCCAATAAACTAACTACCTAACTAACTAGATGGCTTACCGAACCCGAAGGTTCATCACCGAGTTAACCAAAGCCCTCCACCGGACCCTGTCCTGGGTCAACAAAATTCAGTTTCCATCAACTCCTATCTCCCATAGATCCCACCTGAGATTATCCTCTCTTCTACGTCTAGGTCTCCCCAGCTGTCTCTTTCCTTCAGACTTCCCAACCAACACCCGGTGCACACCTCTTGTCCCATCCACGCGCGCTACATGTCCAGCCCATCTCATTCTTCTCGACTTAATCACCCTGACAATACTGGGGGAGGAATACAGATTTTTAAGCTCGTCATTGTGCAGTTTTCTCCACGCCCCATCGTCTTCCCTCTTAGTCCCAAATATCCTCCTCAACACCCGATTCTCAAACACCTGCAATCTACGTTCCTCCCTCTGAGTGAGAGACCATGTTTCGCACCCATACAAAACAACAGGCAAGATTATTGTTTTGTATACTTTAATTTTCAGGTTCTTAGAACTCAGACGGGAAGACAAAATATTTTGAACTGAGAAGTAGCAAGCATTTCCAGAATTTAATCTCCTCCTAACTTCCTCACGAGTGTCATTTTGATTTGTTATTGTTGTTCCCAGATATTTGAACTTTGCGACACTTTCAAAGGATTTATTAGCCACCCTAAGATAATTTTGCCCGCCTGTCTTCTGATTACGAGATACTAACATGTACTTAGTTTTTTTCTGAATTTACTTCTAGCCCCACCTGTCTACTAGCCTCTGAATAAATAAAATCACATTGAATATTACTAGTTTGTATTTAAAACACCATTTGCAGCGATCTCAAATGTCAAATATAGTTTTCTTCATAACATAAGTAACATTCTAAACTTTTAAAAACATTTCTTGCAGTTGTGATGAAGGTTCCTGACTCAAAAACTGTGATGGTTTCCCACTTAAGGGTATGGATTACCTCACTCTGGATTTCTGTGGTTTTCCTCGGCCCCAATAAAATGTTGTAGTGGTTCATAATATTACCGCTGAATTCTTACCAAAGTACTCATAACTTATATCTTAATCAGTACTCATAACTGTCTATTTTATCACCACCTCGGAGTCAGCATGTAACAAAGATCTTAAGCTCCCAAAAAGCTTCGCAGTGTGACAACGCAATGAAATGATTTATTAGTCATCATGCTCATCGTCATTATGGAATGGTTTCGACAAGGCATAACGTAACATACAAAACTGTTGATATTGCATAATTTGTCTGTTTGGGGAGGATACGTGATTTCGTTCTGACAGGGTGCTCAGGTTGGCTTTATCATACTTCAATGCCAACTGTACCTTCACACTTGGTAGACCAAAGTTGTGATAAGAGAGTCATGGCAGTACAGCTATTACATCATCAGTCAAAGAAATGCCACTGCCTGTTCTGATCATTTCTAGGACATTTAATGACACTTTTTCAACTGCAGAGAAATAAATGAGCTAGGAAAATGATTTTCAATGAAGAGTAAATAACGAGTTGAAAGAATGCAGTGACTGCCTGCTTATATTCACTGATGGGACTAAGGTAACCAACGCAGAACTTCAGCTAGTATCATCACTAACCTAATGGAAATCCAAACCACATACCCCCTAAACACATCAACATAACTGTGGTACGACACAATTCAAGACAATATGAATATGAATTATAACACAAGTGGGATGATTACAGTCAATCAGAGCAACTTAAAAAGTTATTTTGAAAACAGAAATCAATATAATTGAGCCGACTACATCCGGCTCTGAGGTTGTGACGGCGAAACTTCAAAAGGGTGCGCATGCGTGTGGGGAGGTTAAGCTGGTTTAGGAGGGGGCGCTGATTTGGGCTAAACCCTTCTCGCCAGAACACAAGACACTCTCTCCGGCTGTAGCTACAGATTCGGTCGGCAACGTCTCTCCGGCTGGGCACTCCCTTCGAGGCGACGTTGCTTTGTATGTGTTTTCACGTTGTAGTTGCCCGTCCAGATTGGTATTGGATTTGTTTTGTTGGTGAACGGGGCAACCACTGTGTTTCGGAGTTATTCTTGGTCCCTCGGGGAGACAAATTGAGTATTGCCGAGAGTGAGCCGTGTCGTGAGGTTGTTGTTGTACTTATATGTTTTGTTTGAGAGTTTCTTTGTTTGTGATAGTTTTATCAATGACCCCTGGTAATGTGTATGTATGATAATTTGTTTTAGGACAATAAAGGGTTTTATTTTCAATTGTACTCTGATGTGTTTGAGTACACCCTTTTTCAGGGGTGTGGGCCAAGCGAACCTCCGACACATAGGACTGAACACCTCCTCCCCCTTTCGACTGTTGCTGAGAAGGAGAGAGCGGATCATAATAAAAAATACAAAAACATTATGAACATAAGTATATACACTGAACTACCAGATCCTCTCTAATAGCTATTAGGAATTAATTAACACAACACACACATATACGTAAGAATAGAAAAATGTACCATAAATATCAACATGTAACAAATGGACCTATTCCGAATAACTAAATGTGAACAATATGCATATACGTCAAACAGAATAAGATGCATTAGATAATAAGACACAGTGTAAATAAAGAAACTGAATAACAAAATAGCAAATGTAAAGTTTGTCCCACTATACGCCATGTAGGCGTTTGGGGTGAGCGGAGGTATAGCTCCTCTCTTCCTTGACCTCGGCACTAGATGGGGGTGAGTGGTCAGCATCACGCCCGGCCGGCTTTACCCCCGGGTAAGGACCCCGGTACCCATTGTAGAGGAGGCTGGGTGGGCCCCAGAGCCGGTCTGGACGCAGAGGCTAGAGGAAAAATCCTCTGTAACCGTCGGGGATTGAACCCCGGTCGTCCAGCCCGTAGCTAGTCACTATACTGACTGAGCTATCCCGGCTCATACAAAATAGCAAATAGCCATAAAAAAATTTTCTGTTGGTGTAATTTCAACTGATTTTAATATGTTTATGCAAAAGAAAGTGGTGCCCTATGAACTTTTAGAGACAGAGAAATGGCCTGATGGTAACATAACATGTGTTAAACCATCACAAAAGGATAATGTTCCATAATAAAGTTAAGCACTTGGAACTGTTAAAAATTGAAAAAAAAACTAAATACAAGTTAAAAAAATATCATGGTTGTACTAACCCTTCTACTTTGAGAACAAAGATTAATGGTGGCATAACAACAAATAAAATAGCACTATTTAGGTTATGTTAGGTTGCATTCGTGATTTGAAAAAGGGTTGAACTACTTCATAAGTAGTGAGTTGCATATAATAATAGCAAATAAGTCAACTCTAAACACCTAAACAATGAATGAATCAGTCACAAGTGGAGATTGCCCTGTAATGTAGTTAAAAAAAGAGTGTAACAGCCAGCCCAGATGAGCCAAAAACATTTCAAGCAACAAACATCAATGTATTAAAAAAACAAATAAGTAATTTTAACTCTTATCAGCCAAAGTGACTAATAAAATGTCAGACTTTAGCAAGTTTGTGATTTATTTCCAATATTTTTAACATGTGCCCTTATGCAGCAATGTTTGAAAAATGTCGTAGGGAACAGGGACTTGTTGGAGAAGACTTACGTGTGATCCTCTATGACCGTGCTCCTCATCTCGACAGAGACCTATTACAATACTATTGCCTGGAGTGTGTGCTTGGTTAAGTTGTCCATTGCTGCCAGCAGAGGCTCCAAGCGTTGATATGTTATGATTGCTGCCATCTTTTACAGCTTTACCCTTTCCTTTCTCCAACTCGTGAACCCGGAACTTCTCCAGTGCATCATCGATAAATGAGTCTGGTACCTTCTTGTGGGAGACCTTGATTTTACCAATATATAATACCTGCGACAAAAATTGTAGAAAGTCACAGAACTGTGTACGTTCATTCACCTTAAGGACAGCGGCTACATACAGAACTTGAAGATTATATTCACCTGCTCTCAAGACATAGACAATTATTTATATTAAAGTATTTTATTTCACTGCATCATTTAATTTTGGCAAATGGATTTCACTGGACCAGGACAGGGACCGGCCCCACTTAATGGTGCCTGCACCTTGTCGTGGTGGTGGGGCTTGAGTACCTCAGTGACCCCATAGCTACTGGTAGGGCCTCCCTAGCCAGATTTGTCGAGGGGGAGAGGTCAGACTAAGACAGGTACCCTGGTCCTCCAGGTCGCAGGGCTAACAACCTTGCATCGTAAAAAAGAACAAAGTTGAGAATAATTTGATGAATGAAGCCGGACTGTCCTCACGAAGACGAACATTAGCTAGGAACAAGGATAAAAATTTGGTACTACATATTGGAACATGGAATGTGCGCACTCTGCTACAAGTAGGAGCGATACAGATGTAGAAAATGTGCGCACATTCCGAGGGGCAAATTCTGACTCGGACCATTATTTAGTTGGGTTTAGAATGAAGCAAAAACTATGTATGGTTATGAAAGGGAAAATGGAAAGAATTAAAAGATGGAATGTAGATCATACAGGGAGCAGATATCGTGAGGCTAATCAAAAGCAAAAGGATAGCCTGGCTTGGCCACGTTGCAAGAATGGAAGGAAACACGGTAACTAGAAGAGTGATGGAATGGAGACCGATGGGAAGAAGGATGAGAGGGAGACCACGGAAACGATTGATAGACGACGTGGAGGAGGATGTGAGGACGATGGAAGTAAGGGGATGGAGAAGAATTATGAATGATAGAACAGAATGGAAAAAATTCATCGAACAAGCTAAGACCCACACAGGGTTATAACGCTATAAGAAGAAGAAGGACAGGGACCGGTGGAGGGCTTTGGTTAGTTTGGTGATGAACGTTCGTGTTCCCTAAGCCATCCAGTTAGTTAGTTCATAATTTAATTTTAAATTTTTAAGTATTTTTTTTCCAAACATGGCTTTCTACATCATCCACAAAGGGACCAGACAGTAGAAGGCAAAATTGGATTTAAGAGCATGTGTAGAGATAATCAGAAATTTACATTACTTTGAAACATGAATGTGTCATAAGTGATTTTAGGTTCTCATGGTGTTCTGGGTTGTGGAGGTGGGCACCATAATTTTTGAGGAACTTACTGCCTCTATCTTCATTCATTAAACCTCCAAAACTTTGGTACCTAACTACAATTCCACACAGTATGACACAGCATCACAGCACAGAAGACCACTAAGAAAAGTTTAAAGGTATTTCTTTACGGTTCGGGTGACAAAAGAATTTTCATTTTACAAGTAGTTTCTGGTACCCTAATGGGTATAAAGAACACAATAATCTGTCAGAGAGTTAAGGGGATGGAAATTTGTCTTGAAGCCTCATCTAATGTAATGTGAAGCTCATCTTCACATGAAACGTCTCCGATGATCTTAAGGCCAAGTCATGAATGTAAAGCTGTTACAACTGTAGCAAAGGAAATGTCAAGTTTCAAATGACATTAGCTGAAATTTAGTTTTTACATTTGATTTCAATGTGTTCAATTTGCTGACACTTCCAAATAGCATGTCCACTGGTTTGAGTTTAAACCAATCCATTGATTTCTGAAGATATCCGTCTTCTGGGTTATTGCGCTGTGTAGTCTGGTCGATGTTAACCAAAGTTTCAGAGGTCATACTGCCTCCGTCATCAGGGCGATGAATATGCCAATAGGGTGTGAGGAGCTGGATTTATAGGCCGGGAAGTGAAAGGGATAGCCTGCCCCAAGCCAATGGTAGCAGGTATGGGAGTGGACCAATGGTAGCACGTGGGCAAGAGTGGGAGAGGGAGAGAAAGTAGAGAGAGAAAGGTGAGTTTGGTTGTATGGATCAGGGCCCTGAAAAGGGCCGAGTTAGTGGTCTGGTTGGTTCTGGCGGCGCACTCTTGCTCGCTCTCGGAGTCCTCGGAGTGTGTGAATAAGAGGCTTCCAGGACCGGCTCAGGTGAAGTCCATCTTCCCTGTTAAAGTTATTGATTTCTGTCCTTTGGTTTCAGCAGCTGTAGTTTAATGCCAAACTTCAGCTTCAAGGGATAAGCCATGCAAAATACTGAAAGGTTTCAAACTTCAAAAGAGATATAGAAACTGCGGTGTTTGCAGAAAAACTGTAAAGCTTTCATGAGAAACAGCTTATAACTGAATGCCAAAACCAATCAATTAATTAATCAATGGGCAATCAGTGAAAGTCATCAGTTAACGAGTTAATTTTGATCAATTGATCAGCAGGCCTACCACTTTAATGTTTCAATAGCAATCTCATGCCCCCCCCAAAAAAAAAAAACTGCTAACAAAATATGCTCTCATTAAACAGAATAAATCCTTTCGGCTAGACAGAATTTTGTGATAATCTCCAAACAAGGTACCATTCTAATACTTTATGTATTCTAGTTTGGTAACCCTTCTTAAGTTCGTTTATACAGCTATACGCATGTGCAATATTTTTTGTTCTTCCTTTGCGTTCAAATTGATTTTATTTTTCAACTAGTCTCATGTTATACTGTTCATTCTGTCTTGATTTTGCTACAACTGAAGACTATCCCCCTGCCATTAACGTTAATTTTCAGAATCCTTCATCAAAACATAGTTTACGCTGCTTCAATTTGCAGGTTCACTATAACACTTTCTCAAATATTTCTGAAGTTGTAAAGTTGTTTCCTGGTCTTTAATTTTCACGCTGTCTAGTTTCTTCGCGTTAAATCTCTTCGTATCAAGCTTTTACGCTACTGGTTTTGTAACGGTCACTCCCCAACTGTTGTACCCACCAGATATTGATCATTATCTCAGTAAATTTCTATGAAAGCTTAGACATCAAGTATAATTGAACGCTGTCTTTTGTCGGACAAGACGTGATTCCTATCAGGAAACACCCAACCGTATTTATACATGTCTCAAAGTGGAAACAGTCAGACTTTCCAATCTGGAACATTTGTTATCTAATCCCATTTACCATTATTAGTTTGACATCAATTCTCATGCCTATTTCTTTGTTTGATAACATCATCTCTCCATTTGCTACATCCTACTTAAGGAATTTATCACGTACACATTGTAGTTCCTCAAAAAGCTATCCTTTGTATCATCAACTTATTCCTCACTTGGGACTTGCACATTTTAAACAAGTATCACATCAAAGACTTCCTGGCATTGAATATAATATCCTATCATTATGAAACTCTACTCTCCTAGCTGTTGATATGACTCCATTTTGTTCAAAAAAGCCTGTTTCCAAGCGAAGATTATTACACGAATTTCCATAAAAAAGCATGTGTAAATCTGACGTCCTGTAGCTTTGCTAGATCTCTTGCTACTGTTTACAGAGATTTCTGGTATTCCAAGTTTCAATTTCAAGTCTATTTTATGTTGATTATATTCCAAACAATGCATTACAGTTGAAGCAAACTGTTTTCTCGACATTATCCATCGTCCAAGACTAAATACAACTAATAGGAACACGACCTACTCTGTTGGGCCTAATCGATACATCCAGTCAATATATCTGGAGATAGGTTTTACCTGAAGACAGAGATAGACCCCAATTTCCGAAACGTCGTGTCTTTATTGGTTTTAGTCTTGGACGATGGATAATGTCCACAAAACAGTTTGCTTCAACAACGCGCAACCGTCAGAAACTTTCAAAATGGAATGTGTTATAGTCCTGAGCCTTGTGTACTATTTCCTAACATGCTAGTTATTACGCTGAGAAGTTGTTACCCCCCCCCCCAACCCAGCCTACAAGGGGGATGATCACCCTCGTTGGCTGTCTGCAAGAACTTGGTCTTTATATTTGCAATTACCCTCATACTTTTCCTTCTGAAACCTGAGGACATGCCACAAGGGACCAACTTAATATGGATTTTATAGTCATACAAGAAGCAAACAGAAACCTGGCTTTAGTACGCCATACGTCACCTGAAGTTCATTTCTTAGGTGGGAGAGCAGGAACAAAATTCCTCCGCTACTTTTGTGCCAAAACCATTTTCATACAGCACACCTTCCTTTTTTAATAATCGTAGTGTGAAGAAAATGTCAGCACAAAACTTAGGTTAGGTTAGGTAAGATTAGGTTAGGTTAGGTTAGGTTAGGTTAGCTTTGAGCTTGGATTTGGACTGTTGTTTCATCTGGTAACAGTCATAATTAAGCACAGCAGTCAAGTTTTAACCCTTTGAATAAATAAATAAATAAAATCAATTGATCAACAAATCACTGATCTGATGTTTGCGTAATACCTGCAATTATCACAGTTTCATTAAATGCATAAATTAAAATATTAGCAATGGCATACGTACTTCAAAGAAATGTGAAGAGCTTGGAGATATATCAGCACACAGCGACGTTAATGCAGCTGCGCTGCTAAGGGAACGGCCATTGTTTGGAGCCACATTGTTTCCCTCTTTAGATTGGTCCCTCATTGCATTGAACAATTCAATCACCTGCAAAACACAAAACATAGTAAGGAACAAATTACTTTAAGTCCAACACGCTGATAAAATTTCTGCAGGTTAAGTCAACCCTAAACTAATTAATCAACCACATTACTGATCAATCCACTCTAATGTTAATGCAATGATGAAAGAACCAGAAGAGACAAATCTCAATAGTTAATGAAATTACACATTTAATTTTGTGAAGAAGTGTTACAAAACTACCTAAGTAGAGCTTAAAAAAAGATCAAGACCTGCTTGATTAACAATGTAACAACGTTCAGAACTGCAATGTAAAATTCATAGCACACCAATGTATTATCTATTGAAGATTTCTGTCTTCTGGGTTGTTGCGCTGTGTAGTCTGGTCCATGTTAACCAACGTTTCAGAGGTCATACTGCCTCCATCATCAGGGCGATGAGTATGAAGATTTCTGTCTTCTGGGTTGTTGCGCTGTGTAGTCTGGTCGATGTTAACCAACGTTTCAGAGGTCATACCGCCTCCGATTAATCGCTCTGATGGCTGTAATAACGCACTGTCAGATGTTTTACTCACCAGGACACTTCATTACAGAGGTACTACTGGATTTCCAGTATCACAAAATCAACTTTCATCACCAAAAACTACTCTAAGTGTTTAACGGTCCACAAAACAACTCAAAATCGTTTGCAGTTTTCTTTCGTGTTGTAGATCTGTCACTGAGGAATTTGGACAAACTGTTGGCATCCTCATAAATCCAGTTCTAAAAGCCTTACAGTTTTCTGGATGACAAGTAAAAACTCGATAGAGGAGGGCCCCTTTATACACAACACTCGCATTGCGCCCAAGCAAGCCTCGGAACAGAAATTTCCAATACAATTTGCAGAGGAATCCTCTGTCAAAATGCCAGGCCTGCTAGCTGCCATCAACTACACTGCGTTCCACGTTTAAGATAAGAGGCGATGTAAACAACGTCGCGTAGGCGGAAGGTCTCTTACAGCTTCATAACCTTGTCCCTCATCCGGTGTCATTTCATATCACAGTTTTTCTTCTTTAAAGAATGCAATAGTAATTATATTATTCCTTGCAGCGATAACGGTTTGGAGCGTCATTTTGGTAAGATTTTATCACATGAATAGTGTTAAATGTTACAGTTATACATGCTGCATAAGTTCTTTCTGTACAAACGATTTGGGGTGGGTGCATATCTATTGGAACAGCGCGTTGAACAGCCACTTGACGGACTACCCACGAAGAAAACATTCTTTCGTGAGTTCTGTGACTTGTAACAGTAATGTTTTGTGAAGTCAAAGTTATCAAGTAAGAGTTTACTGGTGACTGTTGTGTATAATATAAAGTTATATTACATTTTATTGTAGTAGGCATAGAGCATTACAGTAATAGAGAAAGTACCAGAATGATGCAGCAAATGTTTGTAGGACAGACAGTAACATTGTTACCACGTAATTCAAAAGGGGTTGGAGGATTGGGGAATTTGTTTTGACTGCTTTTAATTTTAGTTGGAATAGCCTATAGTGTCTGTGTTGTCAAACCAGCATCTGTGCGATAGAAATGTGCTGTTACGCATCATAATCAAGTCTGACGCAATGCCGTGCCGTGTCCACAGGCTATACAAACAACTCCCTGGATTACTCAGCTGTAAAAATATTTAAAACGAACAATTCTCCGTTAACAAGTACAAAACCTGCTCAGAAAAGAAAACACATTTAGCGACTGGGAGTTGGGTAGTTTAATAAATCCTTTCGGAGCTCCTTTAGAGAGAGGCGTTAAAGTCGTGACTGTTCTGCCTCCTGTAGGGAATAAAATGAACTCAAGTTGCCGAGTAAACAAATGACGCGAGTGGATTGCGTTAAATAAATGTTTGTAGAACCCAAACCATTTGTGATATGTAAAATCTGAAAACAGATTTGGAAAGCTCAAGAGGTAATACGTATTTCGTACGCAATATGTCCAGATCCATCTCTTACGGTTTTCGAGAGGCGGGCGCTTAACGCCGCCAGATGAATTGAAAATTGCACACATTGGTTCATTAAAATTACAATAAATATATAAACAATTATAATTACAACAAAATACATTACAGATTCTTAAAGGTCCTTATTTACTGATCATTTTACATATAGGTTACATTACCCTTACTCTTAACATTCCTGAGGAATGAACATTTAAAGGTGACTCGGCTATGGATAACGCAGTTTGATGACGTCATTTCTTGAAGACACCGAGGAATCAGAATCAGATGGCGACATTCCAAACCAAGTCAGTTGCAATAAATGAACCTGTTACTGGGAGCGGCTTTAATTTGAAAATGGAAATATTAGCCAGAGTAAGCTGCACACAGCAACAGGTAACATTCCAAGAATTGTGACGGAACAGTTATAGATCCAAACCCACCCACGAATACTTTCTACTATTGACAGAGCCGTGGTTTATTCCGCAATGAACGTGTTCTCTACACACTTTGAGCAATTAACATACAGTTAAGTAAACAGAAAGTGAGGCATGTCTGCCTACATAAGACAATAACTCGGGGCAGCCAACAAAATATCGCCAATTACTTATTCCGTTTGTGGGGAAAATCCATCAGTCGACGGAAAGTTGGGAGATAATCTAAGGTAGACAAAAAACAATTTTAATATCGGGCGTGGCGTTCTAAAGGGGTTTGAATGTCTTATACTTTACAATGCTCCCACCCGATAATTACTAAATTTCCAGGGTGAGTCGTGTATGGCAGGAATTTTTATCTCGCGTATAGCTAATTTCTGAACTACGGTACGGCCTAACATAACCTATATTTTGCTGGTGGTATTTCCTTCAACCAGATACACCGCGCCAAAGCTTAGGTCACACAACTGGGTCGAGGGATGGTCCGTGCGATTATCTAGGCCAAGGTTTCGGGGCAGTTGCTCGGCCGTGTAAGACAATTAGTTCTTAACGTTTATTATAATTAAAGTTTTACCATCGACCCGCGGACTAGACCGTCATCTGTTGAATGCTGAAGGTTTCTTCTTCACTTCTCAGAAGTCCTGACTGAATTGCACACGTTTCCCTGCTCAAAGGCAGGCACGACTATGAGAGTTCAATGTGGACTTGGTCTGCAGTCCACAGAACAGGAGAAAATCCCTGCTAGGAATTCGATATACGCGCATGCGCAAGATTTCGCGGTGAGTGACGACCGATCCTAAAAGCATTCGTTCCACAACCACTGAACGAACAACAGACGACAGGCTTTCATGTGTTCTAATGGGCACAGATTAAAGATTACCTCACAGTGGCACAGCGATTTAATCTAGAATATTATCGCAACACCCACAGAACACATTAGAGGTACACTCACTACACGCTACTCTGAACTGCTTGATGTTTTCAGTCTGTGTAGTAGCGTAAAACTCTGACGTGTCACACTTCCCACCAATAGCAGCCCTCTAGTCCACCAGGCAGTAAACATTCCCCCCGCTCAGGGATTTTCTCGTGATCTGTGGACAGTAGGTTAATATCTTGAAATATGCCTGGAGGGATCGAGGGGAGAGAATTAAAACACTCATTCAGAATAGCTGGTGTTACGCATTACAACTGCCAGCTTGCTCGGAATACAACACACCAATTCGCATTTAAGGCACGTCTCTCGACATTACTGTGTTCGTCTGTTAGCCGTTGTTCCAACGAATGCAATTTTATGAAAATGGCGGTGTTCCAGCCACAGCTCTCAGATGCCAGCTAATGTTCGGCCATGCTTTGGTATAAGATATGCTCTTCAACAACGCCGACTACGTTATTCATAGCCATAATTAGTTCAGATCAGGGTTCTGGCCCCCCAAAAGTTTAGGGATTCGAGGAGACAGTCTCCAGCACGGCCTAATACGTATTATGGTTCTCATTAAAGCTGTTTTAAACACCCCAAACTCAATCACAGAGCAAATTTAACAATTTATCGACTCGAAATACAATTTCTATGAAGTTGGAAAGCAGATGATAAATTACACGAGAATCAAGTCGACGATAACCGCAACACCAAATCAAAAAGAAAAGAAATGAGGTTAGGTTTCACGAACTGAAGGAAATTCTGACACTTTTACACGAATGTGAAACTGGGGTTACAAAGAACAATATATTTTTTGTAATATTAATAACAAAAATGTCTAGAGGACTTACCAGATAGGGAAAAATGAAACCAGAGATGCACGGGGCTAAATATTTATTGAGTAAAATAAATAATACACAAAGAGAAAATTCGTTAGTCTACTTGAACAGAATAGGTAAAGATACTCCCAAAACTTGTTCTTCAGTGCAAACCAACACATGTAAATTATGACGTAGGAACAGACATTTTTAGACTAATCCGTGGAAGGCAGGAAGAAAATATCAACACTGTCGAGTTATCCGCGGTTAAAGCTCGGGGAGTCTAAAGAATGTTTCTTTTAATTTAAATATTAATCTACAGTCAGATTCGAACACAGAACCTTGAACATTTAAAGGACCAACGTGTATTTTAAGACTGGATCATCTGTGTAAGTTGGCAAGTGTGTGCTCCTACATCACATTAGTTCCTGTAACTCCTAGGTGGAGCACAAGGCTTCCTTTCGGAGGTTTCACAGTCTTTAAAGCGTGCACCTAAACCCAGAAGACAGAAATCTTCATACTCTGATGACGGAGGCAGTATGACCTCTGAAACGTCGGTAAACACCCGCCAGACTACACAGCGCAACAACCCCGAAGACAGAAATCTTCATACTCTGATGACGGAGGCAGTATGACCTCTGAAACGTCGGTAAACACCCGCCAGACTACACAGCGCAACAACCCCGAAGACAGAAATCTTCATACTCTGATGACGGAGGCAGTATGACCTCTGAAACGTCGGTAAACACCCGCCAGACTACACAGCGCAACAACCCCGAAGACAGAAATCTTCATACTCTGATGACGGAGGCAGTATGACCTCTGAAACGTCGGTAAACACCCGCCAGACTACACAGCGCAACAACCCCGAAGACAGAAATCTTCATAC